TAATTCATTTGTATTTAGCCATGTTATGGATTTTTCTCATTTAAAGCTATCTTGTATTTGTAGTAGAGGTGCCGAAACTCTACCATGTGCAGCAAGCATCTATTTAGAATGATGGTGTACCTAGTCCTCTGTTTTTTCTCCATGCAGTTAGGATTTCCCTTCAATCCTATTTGTTTCACTGTAACATCTGTCCTTGTATTTTCTTCATGCAATCTGACTTTCATATGTACCTGTATTTGACAATTTGGGTCTGAGGATTTGAAGTTTACAGCATAGGAATTAACAGATGGCAATCTTTAACCCACGTTAATCACGAGTTATGCTTTCCTCAGGATGCTGTCTGCAGTGAAGAAAGGCAAGAAGTGTTGAAGACTTTTACATTTAGCCTGCTGCTAATAGGTCAAGACACAAAACTGTTGACGTATTTCTATGTTACTAACATGTATAGGCAGAACCAGTGACCATAGGTTCTGTACCAAGTGGTATCTCAAAAATCATAAGGACTGAGTAAAACAGCCTGTGGTTTGCTGTCAGAGAAGTTTCATTTTAAAACATTACAACTTTTTTCTTCTACCGATTCATGGACTTGAAAGTGTGACTTGAAGAGGAGAATGTGTTGCATTTGGCTTTTCTATTTCATGCAAAAAGAGTGCAATTGCTATCTTATTCTGAATAACACAAAAATAAACAATGCAAACATCCTTTTTTCAAGTGAGGACTGAAATATGCTTGTACTGAACCAAGGCAGGATCTCATTTTTTCATGGCTGTTTCCACTGAGGCCCAAAGCAAGATGAGGCCCCCACAGAAAACATCACGTAAGTAGAAGTTTTGGCATGCCCTTCATCTTCCTTTTAGTAATAACGAGACAAAGGAACTGATATTATGGATCCAAAACATGAAAATAAAAGTAGCAGATCAGAAAGTACAGAAATAGCACACAAATACAGAAAATATACTTGTACAGTAAAGCATATTTGAAATAGCTGATGCCACTGGTCAAATATGAAGATGATAACTTTTCTTTCAAAAGTCAGATGATTTTACACTGCTTGTGCAAAACTTGCAGCTTAATCAAAGGTTTAAACAATATAGAGGAGTTGGTTTTTTTTCCCAGCCACCATTCTTTCAGAGAAAATACAGTGCTGATGTTATGTAAGAGTCTTTATTCCCATAAATGCATGCTTTAAATCTCCTTTAAGTTTTTTGCTTTAAAGTTGGGAAGAGGGATATCTGAGGATTTCTGTTCAAGGCTTAGTTCAAGGGTTAGGTTTCACTGGCTTACTATGAGTTTCAAAATGAATTGAATGATTGAGAATTTGGCCAATGTTTGGTTTTGATAAAGCTATAAGTAGGGTAATTTAAAAGGTGATTTACTAATTTTTCATTATTATGATTTTTTTTTAAATCATTGTAACCTGAAGGACTTCTAGGACATTTTGGAAGTTCTGCAGAAAACAGATAGTAGTTCAAAGGCAGAAATGAATATACGGTAATATACTTCCTGAAATACAGCCCGTAAGGAATTTAGGCAGCATTCTAGGACCATTTTACATAAATGTTTCTTCAGGTATTAGCATAACATTTCATTGGTAGCGGTGTTAAACCCAGCATAAAACCAAGCTTTTTGAGCAATGACACAATTGAAAGAAAGGATACTGTAATATCCTCTACATTCTAAAGGGATCTTAGTTCATATGTTGAAGAGTAATTTATCTGATGGTAGCAAGAGTGTCTCCACAGCAGCGTTCCACGGGTAGTAAAGCTACTCCTTCCTTGGAGCAAAGTTTTCTGTAAATGTGAGAGATGCATTGTTAAATCTGTAGAGTTAATAAAAGATGGAACCACGTTTTTAAGGAAGTGTTGATAAAGAAGCAGGATTAACTGTAAGGATAACTAAGTTCCCACAGAGCTGCTGCTGTTGTTTTGGTAATTTAACGTGGATTGCTACAGTCTTTCTTGTATGCTGGTCACTACGAAGTAATTGCCAGCTCATCTTGGCCCTAGCGTAACCCAGAGTTTTCCCATTCCCCCAAGGATGTTGCAGACACTCCTTTATTCTGCTGGCAGCGTAGCAACCTTGCCTCCTTACGTGAACCACCAAAGCACCTATCATAATTATTGTTCTTCCTCAGAGCAAGAAAACTTATATCAACACACTCCATGGCCAATTTTGCTTCCTGTAGAGATACCAATTTTAAACTATGAAAATGGTGAGGTGTGGTTACAAACTCTACATCATGCACAGCAAAGTGCTCTACAGTATTTTATAACTGTCACTATCCATAAAACCCAGAAACTGTTGTAATAGAGATGTACATTGGTTGCCATACTGTTGATATCCTCCTTCGTGTAAGTAGTATTAAGAAGTTTTCCTTTGGAGACTCTTTAATTCTTCATGTTCTTTGTGCCAGCACAGAAGTAAAAAAAGTAGAAAAGAAGGGTTGCTTTGCTATAAGGCAAAGTTAAGATAAACATAAGCCCCAGGATAGTGATCTTACAAACTAATGCTGTGCTGACCAGACTCCCTTTCCTTCCTGTGCCAACAGCAGCATTCTCTGGGGATCCTTTGCTTTCCTCATAGTCAGGGGAAAAAAGAGTTGATGGACGCCCAGACAGCGCTCTTCAGATTTTCTGGTTTCTCAGAGAGTATTTGAATGCATTTAGCTTAGATTCTGAAAGGGAAGAGACTATGAAAACAGAAATTACCTCTTCCTACAGCTGTAACAAGCAGAAACACTTTCCCAGCTTGGTTTGTTTTTTCCTTTAGAGTAGCAAACAAATGATGACAAAACTTATCCTTCTTGCTTGCTGTTCTGTAAAGCCTTTCAAACAGAAAGAAGAAGCACCACACATAATATTTACAACATAAAAATGCAAATTATTTTTTACCTCAGATTTAAGTATTGATTTTAATTTTTATCATGCGCATTTCCAGAATCTTTTCCAATTAACCTGTACTGTGGTCTCTAATGTGGTTTGATGTTTTTCTTGCTTGGAATAGAGTTCTCCCCTTGGCTTGTCTGGTTCCTCTGCTTCTGTCTTCAGTTCTCTGCCCTTGTCTCCCCCACCTTTTTCTCTTTCAAGAGCCATTGCCAACTGCTGATCTTGTGGGACACATGAGTGTCTGATTCTCCGCAGATCGTGGCTCTGCACAGACCCTCCTGTGCACCATGGAGTCACTCAAGTGACAAGATCATTTAGCTGCAGGCTAGACTGGGAGCTTTGCTCTCCCAGCCACCATCAAAGAGGAGAGGATTGCCTCATCCTAGTAGCTTTCAACCCAAGACTGGGTCACTAAGGTATTTCCCTCCCTATTTGATTAGATTAAGTAATGGCAAGAGCTTGCATTAAAGAATTCAGTGTTAAAACTATTTGCTATGCAAATAATGTAGCTTGGACTCCTGATTTGGCAGTGATTTTCAAAGCACAGGAGATTGTATGAGAGAGCATCTTAGAAGGGAAATAAAGTGGCCATGAGGTAATCTGCTTATGCTGGGAGATTTGTCATGGGGAGAGCATAAACACATCTTAAGATCAAAGTAAAAAAACAAGGTATATTAATGTGGTAGAGCAATGCAAAAATTGATGGTGCTGAGCCTTGCTGTGGCAGTGGTGTTAAAGAACCTCAAATGAGCTGCAAGATACATGAGTCTTCTGGTTAATGAATGATGGTGTTAACGCCTCAAGGTGCAGAGGGAAGAAGTGTTTGAGTCTTCCTTGACCACTTAAAAATTACCTGCTGATTTTTGGAGCTGCTTCTAACAAATTTCAGCTACTGTACCTTGACTGGGTTTTTGTGATGTTTGCTGTACCCATGGTGTGGCCAGAGTGTCAAGAAACAAACATTTCGAGAGAGAACGGCAGCCCAGCAAACGCTCCCCACCGTGTACCTTCGTGTTGTTTGCTGCTTCTGTCTCCAAACTCACTTAGGACTCAAGGAAGGATGAGGGTACCTATGGAGCTTCCAGAGGAAGAGCCAATGGGCCAAAGAAAAGCATCACATTTTCTAATCCTGGCGTCTGGAAGAGGGAAAACGAGTTGTAACCTTCTGCGGAACACAGTAGATCCTCAGCGAGTAGAAAGCGATTCAGTTAAGCAAAGTCGGTGGATGCAGGCAGATTTTCAGAAGAGGAAAGCCGTGGTTTCTCTGCACTGGATGTAAGCTCAAGTCCCTCTGTAAGTGACTGTAAAAATATCGGCGGTTGTTTTTTATTAAAAAAAGCTTCCAGCTGTTGTGCTTAGAGAGAAAACCTTGGAACCAGTATTGTCAGAATCTTGAAGGGTTTGTGAGGAAAGCATGTTTAAAACAGAAGCATCTAAGGGGATTTTTTAACATTCCAGGATTTTAAATCTTTGTTGTAGTGATGCAAACGTTAGCTTTGGGTTTAGCAGTCACTGTGTAGGGGGATGGCATATACAGTTATTCCATAACTTTGCTTTGGAAATAAAGATTTTTTGGATTAGATCTGTTATGAGGAAAAGACAACATATTAAGATGTCATCTTACAATTATTCCTGAAACTTCTTCCCTGTAAACTCTTTTCTGTGCAAATGCTGCATGTTTTTCTTATGCTTTTGACATTTATTTTTAGAATACCATGAAATTTTTTTATATAAATATGAAAAGTTAATAACTTGTTGTTCGTTCCCTTGTCATAACTGCAGTTCTCTTACAACTCTGTCAGTAGGTCTGTTCCTGGCCAGGCAGTGACTTCTTGCAGCTGCCTGGGGGGGGGTCAGGTGCCCTTCAGCCAGGGCTCTGGGGGGTCCCACAGGGAAGCCGGAGGAGGGGGCCTCATCAGGCCGCGTTCCACCATTACCTGCCTTGGGTTGGGTGGCGATGTGCCCCAGGGGAGCTTGCCAAGAAGACGGCTTTAGGCTGAGGGCGACTGGGCGGAGGCGGAGCTGCCAGCAGCCCTGTGAGGGGGTGACAGGCAGCGACGGTCACCAGGCGCGGCCTGCAGTGACGTGACGGGAAGGGAACACTGAATTGACACAATGGGCTCTCGCTTCGGAGATGGGCCCGAAGGCTGGAGGAAAGCAAGTGTCCCTCTGATCTGCAGAGAGGGCAAGAAGAAAGAATCGGGGAACTACAGGCCGGTCAGCCTTGCCACATCTCTGGGAAGGCAACCGGCCTGTGATCCTGTGTGTGCCTGCTGCTGGTGGACGGGTTAGCAAACAGTACAAAGAACTGACAACAGCAAAGGATAAAGCGTCGCGTTTGGTGTTGAGCTTTACGATCAAGAGCAGGAGACGAAGGGAGCAGAGGGGCTTTAAGGTATGTTGTTCCTTCTACTGCATCCAAGTGGCTTTTTAAGGCTCCTAATAGGAGGACAGGAACTCAGGACAGGAACTGCTGGAGTATCATGTCCTCAGTGTAAGGAAGAGGCATTAAAAGTATGCTTTTCAATGTATAGTGTAGTTGCAGACTTTAAATACAATATAGCCGGGGGGAGTAACAATAATCATAGTTTCAGACATGGCTACAAATTTTTATATTAATGGAGAAAATATGAATAGTATTATGCTATTTATAAAAACTTGTTTATTAATCGCCATACTGAAAAGCATTTAGTTAACTAAGTACTAGCTTTACTCCTGTGGGGACTGCTGATGAGCCAGTGTTTCTTTTACTCTTCATTCATTCCTGGGGCTGTAGGACTTCCACGAGCGGCGTGCAGGTGGGGTGGCAGGTTCTGCCTCACTGACCCTGCTGTCTGCAGGTTTCTTTCTCTCCTGTTTTTTCCTCACACCTCTCTCTCCCAGCTGCTGTGCAGCTATTTTTGTCCTTCCTTAAATGTCACCACAGAGATGCCACCAGCATCACTGCTGGGCTCCTCTTTGGCCAATGGCGGGTCCTTTTTGGAGCTGGCTGGAACTGACTGCACCTGACACAGGGCAGCCCCTGGTCTCTTCTCACAGAAGATGTCCCAGCAGCCCCCCATTGTAAAACACCCTCCTACAGACATCCAACACAAACATATGAACAAGTTTTGATATGCCAGTGCAACACACATGCGTGCCTACAGTTCCTTGCTTTAACCAAAAAGAACTAATTTCTCTGTATTAAAGGCTGATTTATAACGTTAAATGTTCTTAATCAAATGCAAAATGCAGGAGCTGCTGCCAGTCTGTATTGATCTGGATGCTGGAGGTTAGTTTTCATTAGTTTTATTGCTGGTGCGCACTTCAGGCGCAATGGCACCG